GGAGTGTCTGGGAACACAGAGTGAGAAAAGTAGAGGCTGGAAGTGAGAGGAGAAGTTAGCAGCACGTTAAAGTCAGATGTTGGAGAGAGATTAGTAAACATTAGAGTCCAGAGCTGGGAATTTTATGTGGAATTTGGTGACTCCTTGTTTCTGCCTCTGATAATACAGCTTATGTTCCTGCTGTCGATTGATGTTACCCAGGTCGGCGTCCTTTCCCTCGCATCTGTGGAAGGCTGAGGAGCTCAGAGGAGTGGAGAGAGGAAGAGGCAGGGCGGAGAAGGAGAATTGGTTGAGTCCCAGTGTCCTTGAATGGCTCCCATTGGATCTGGAGGGAGAAGCTGACAGCCTGGCTCTTAATCTTGCTCTTGCAGCAGCATTTGGCTGTTGGCCAGCTGGAGAGTGAACCACTGAGGCTGACACAGACTTTCAGCCTTCTTGCAAAAGCTTTTAAACAGTTTTCTGTTTGATATGCACCAGATAAGGCCAGGGCTCCTGTCTGCCTGCCTGCTCTTCGGGATTCTAACTCTTTCTGAGTTGAGATCACGTTAGAAAAAATGACTTGTAAAATGACATCCAGACTTGATTTGTTTGTTACTCTGGTATTAAATTTGCTATACTACTGTATTTTCCTTACTGCTAGGATGGGAAATTCAGTCTGTAATGTGATGTCCAGCTGTGGTATTTTTACCTCCTACATCACCGTGAGTTTTAAAGCTCCTGCCTTCCACACTCAGCCTTACAGGGAACCACGAGATAGCGAATGCTTCATGGCTGGTTGGGTTTAACAGTCCCAACAACACTGAAGCTGCGTTTCCACCATAAAACAAAGGTGCTTCAAAGCCACGCAGAGGAAAAGTGCTCTGAGGAAAGGAGATGCCTGTTTTGCACAGTGGTGGAAAACGGCTTCTGGTTTCAGGTTCTCAGTGCGTTGTAAATACGGTGAAGACACACCGGTGAGTGGCTGGGCTTTGTGTGGGTCCATTGCTCGGGTGCCAGAGGAGCGGCTGCGCTGCCGATACCTGCTGCTAGCACACAACAAATGCAGCTCGCTAACAAACTTTGGAGCTAGGAGGTCATTTGGTATGGGAAAGCTGAACAGGCTTACCTTGTAGGAAGCCGTAGGACAGCAAGAATCACACAAAAGCCAAAGAGGGAGAGAAGCACAACAGGAAAAATCTTTTTTCCCCAGATTTTATGAGCCCTCGTGGATTTTGTGGCAGGGAAGCTGGCGTCGTGTTAGGAATGTGTAACTTTGATCTTTGTCCCACTCGTACGCCGGCATTTCTGAGCTGATGGCAGGGCAGAATTGGTTCCTGTGTAAGATTACGTTCTGTTGACCTTTTAGGTGGCGACAGCTATTTCCATTGATCATGGTATGTGTATGTTAAAGGGGAAAAAAGTACATTTCTTTTTTTAATATTCTTTGTAAGCCAGCAGCATCAAAGAAACCGGCTGCCCTTACTGCTTTCACAGCTGCTGCCTATGTCTGTGCTGTATATATGCTAAATTAATTGGAAAAACAGGGACAAAAAGGCATTTAGTTCAGGTCAACCAGTTGGACTACAGCAAACGCATGACAGGCTTAATCATTGTCTTTTGCCAAAGAGCAGGTTGGCAAGGGCAGGCACTCCAACCCCTTCTGATGAAATTTGGACTTTTTCCAGTGCCTTTGGAGGCGGGATGCTGTGAGAGAAGGGTCTCCATGCAGGGCCCGGACGCTGTCATATTGACAGGGTGGGGTGATGGAGAAGGTCACGACAGGTTATTTATCTTTTGTCAGCTGTGAACTCAGCTTTCAGCCTTCGTTCATCACAGCTTCATACACTTCGCCTGAGAAGGCACCACAGCTCTCCCTTCACAAGAATGAGGTGGTTAATTAGTCTGGTCTTATTAGGGCATCGGTCTCTGGTGCCGTGCTAAAAGCAAACGTGCAGCAGTCTTTCTTCCTTTGCCACCAAGTTTTCTGCATCTCTCATGGGAAGGGACATCAACAAAAAAATGCCCCAAAGCACCCAGCTGTCATAATGACTTACAAAGTTTGGGTCTTCTGAAATGCCTTCTGTATAAATGTGCAATCTTGCACTTTCAGGAAGAGTAAACTGGCAAATGAAGGGAGTGGGCTCAGTGTATCTCTCAAAACGCTTTCTCCAATAGCCATGTGGTTTTGAAGATGTAAATGATTCAGCATCTCAGTAACTCTTCCTTATGGCAGCAAGAATTAATATGTGGTATATGGGGTGCATATTTCACACTAATTAAAGTGATTTTCTGCTGAACTCTATGGGGAAAGGGCATCAAGGGATGTAAAGATTAAACCAAATATAACCTCATGTTAAAATTGGACAGAGAAATGTTCCTAATAATGGGTACAGCGAAGAATTAATTTCCTATCCTTCTTCTTTCCAGGCAGTTGACTTTAGTTGTAGTTACAACATGTGCAGCCCAGTTGTTATTCTTCAAGAAATGATTGTGTTACCTTTACAGTATTTTTCTTTATTGTATAGGTAACCTGGCTGGTTTTCATTTGTTTTTCTTTCTTTTTTCTTCCAGGCCTTCTGCCTTATCTAGTAGCCCAACATACTCAGAACTTCCATTCCTAAGAATTTCCCCGCACCGAAATCCTGCTGCAGCATCAGAGTCTCCCTTCAGCACCCCTCACCCATACATTAACCCCTACATGGACTACATCAGGTCCCTGCACAGCAGCCCGTCACTCTCCATGATCTCAGCAGCCCGCGGACTCAGCCCGACAGACGGTGGGTTAAGACAGGCTTCCTGTTTTCTGTCATTGTAGCAACTTAAGTTATATTAATCTTGTCAACATTTTTCCCCCCTCGTTCAAAGCAGCTTCAGCAGGTTTGTCAGACATATTCATTATGTCATAAATGTTTCAATACTTCATCAGCCGATCACGGCTCATTTGTACATCTCACAAATGTTGAAACTTCAGGGAGAAGGAAAAAAAAAAAGCCCAGCCTCATTCAAAATTTAAGCTGGAGTGGTGGTGTATGTCTTGTGATATCTTCTGTTTGTGGAGCTGACTCAGGGTGTGATTCTGATCTCCCAAGAAATCCACTGGATCTGCACTGAATTGAGCCAGATTCTTCATGAGCGTACATCACTGTATAACCATGAAGTTCTTCAGATGCAAAAGGCTTATTAATTAAAATAGTACTTTTCAATCATGTAAAGCATGCCCTGACTTGTAATATTTAGTCAATAGTCCTGTTAAAGTTATGTAGAATCGTTTCACTTTACCGTAGCCAATGATACGGCCAAACAAAATGATGCTGATGTAGAAGAAGAGGCTGATGATCAGGACTGGCTCCTTTACTTTAAGTGGTGAGCGGTGTACTTGAAATATCGATGCTTTAGGTCTTGATGTGACCATGACTATTACTTTCCAGGTTATATGGGTTGGAGTGAACTCCTGTGCTCGCTCTTGTCATTACTCTGGCACATTTCATGTTCATTTCAATGGGAATTTTGCCAAAGTGAGCAATGAATAGAGTTGCAGAAAGGCTCAGTCTTGTTAGCAGTAGGTTTTTCAATAGCAGAGTAGGCAGTTTGACGTTCCAATATTGTAACATTTGCTGAAGAGAGCTAAAATATAACACATTCTGAAGCAAATACGTAGATATGGGGAAGATCTTCCCAGTGTATGCAGAAACTTACCAGAGTTAAACTGCCTTTAGCTAAATTTGAAAAATGAGTGGTGCACCCTGTCCAAATGGATAACTAATTAATCCTTGCTTATAAGAACATACACCTTTACAGTTAATCCATTAGTTACGGGCACGTATTCTTATGAGAATAAATTTTAATGACCTATTGTCAGTCAAGGTATATGGCATGCAGACAGGGATTTCGTAGCAGCACTTTGGATGTTGTATGAATTCTTGCTAATTCCACCATTTTTATTTTAGCCAAAGTATTAAAAAATATTTTGAAGGAACAATTTGAATGCTCAGAAATACATGATTTGACTCAGGAAGCTTCGGAGCTTTTGATACAGGATAAACATGGTAGAGCTGTAATATAATGGCATAAATTGGGAAACTCTTGCAATGTATATTTGGGCTTTTCACAAAATCTAATATGCAGAACACTTTGCTGTCTTCTTCAGTAATCTTCAGATTGTGTTCTTGCAGAATTTCATTTATGCTTAAGGTATGCTCCGGTTGCACGTGCGAAGAAAGAAGGGAAGGAAACCACCTATCCCACAACCATACGACATTAACCTGCGTACGTTCTTGGTCTCAGGTACACAACACAGAATTCACTTGCATAGATCTAGGCACATAGTGCTATCTGAGATAGGTGGGTATCTGACCTTGCACCCCACTGACACTCCAGAGAAGCAGCAGTCTCCTAGAGGTGCTTTGCTGTGTTCACCAGGTGTGTGTTAATCTCTCTGAAACTCTAGGGTGTCGCAGGGTAGTATTTGGTTCCAGATTCTGGCACCTAAATTTAGGTCTTTGCAGTATAGAAATCTGTCTGAGGTCTTGGTGTGCTGTTTTGCCATTCTAGTCCAGTGAGTTCTAAGTAGTGCAGTCGGTGGAGCCTTAGGGATCTCTTCAGTCACCCAAATACAGACACTTGCGTGTCACCATCCGAGTCTGGAGCTCCGTCACAACTACGATGGTGCTAGCATTGATTTGTCTACAATTTAGGTGTTTGGTGTTGGTTCAGGTCTGTGAAATACCTTGCCTCAACTCCAGCTGCCACCTCAGAAAGGTGGTTTTCTCCTCTAAGGCATGTCTGATACCTGCCAGGCTCGTGTGGGTGCCTCGGATACCCACGGGTTTCCAGATGGCACGAGACACTCAGATGTGGACAGCACAGTTGAGTATACCCTGTCATAACGCTCGTCCCCCGAGCTTTGATTACTAACTGTGTACACAACCGTAGCCTCTCATAAGTGCAAGCTAAACTTACTAGCTGAAGCTTCTGTCTTTGGGTTTTGAACAAATTCATCTTAGTTTACATTTCCTCTAGGCTCACAGCTCAGCTTTGATCAGTTACCGCAGCCCAAGTATGATGCAGCATCTCATGAAAATACGTAACTTGATTGAGGCATTGGAGATACATCATTAAAACAACATGCTTATTGAAAAGCTGTTAAATTTGTTCTCTGGAATCCATAGTTTGTTGTGTGATCAGTCAGGTATACAGTGAAATGCTTTTTTCAGGTGTAGGTTCCTGGATCAGATAGTCTAGGTCATGGCTTGGGCACTACCAGAACGCAAATAAAAAACCCCTGTGATGTAAAGGGGTGCATGCACAGAATGGACACCATGGCTGAAGTCATATAGCATTTGAACTATGAAAACTTGTAAGTTGTTATTGTTCCCCTGAAAGTCATAGCAAGATTTCTCTTGCTACCATAATTGCTTTAGGCCAGTTAAATAATTGGGTCAATGTACTGTTGGGCTCAGTGTGTCGACTCGCAGATCTGGGGGTGGCCGGCAGCCAAAACAGTCTGGAACATAACGAAGAGCACTTGCATGCTCACTATGAGTCTTGCCAGCTGTAATGTTATAGTGGCTTTCCAGTACTTAAAGGGAACCTATAGGAAAGATGGGGACAATGTTTTTAACAAGGCCTGTTGTGATAGGACGGGGCATAATGATTTTAAATTAAGACAGGGTAGATTCAGACTGGATATAAGGAAAAAATTTTTTACAGTGAGGGTGGTGAAACACTGGAGCTGGTTGCCCAGAGAGGTAGTGGAGATCCCATCCCTAGAAACATTCAAGGTCAGATTGGATGGGGCTCTGAGCAGCCTGGTCTAGTAAAGATGTCCCTGCTCACTGCAAGGGAGTTGGACTAGATGACCTCTAAAGGTCCCTTCCAACCCAAAGCATTCTATTATTCTATGAATTGCCACAGCAGTAGTAATGGCAGAGTGTCTTCTCTCTTGTCACCTCACCTTCCCCAGCAGAACGAGTGGGCCAGGAGTGGCTGAGGACTCCCCTGAGTAATGCAGAGGGGTAAGGACTGAGTTGTTTGTGTGTGTAGAGTGGAGGGTTCAAATGATGCTCAGCAATGCCCACAACACAGAAGAAAATGCCTCTCCTTGTAAAAAAGGCAGGGGCAAAGCTGAAGCTGCCCAGGAACAAACAGGAGAAAAATCAGGGCTGCGGGCCGTCCTGTTTACCCTTCAGTTACCCTTCATGCAATACATCATTTAGTAGGCTAATTTTTCATGTTTGAAGAAGGTGCTAAGGAATGATCTTTAAAGAGCACCAGAGCATTTCTCAGCGTATGGAACATTTAGTAATGCAATGATTTCCTCACTGTGTTTTCTGTAGCAGTTCATTTTAAAGTTTGCAGCCGATGTTGTTGTCGGTTAACCCAGACACTTATGTCAGAAAGCTCAGGAAGTATTTTAAGTGTGTCTGGAAAGATATGGTGGTTGCCTGCTACTGTAAAACTTTCAAAATCAGTGATTCAGTGTGAGTTACTCCTCTTTTAAAATTTAGTCCGAGTATTTTTATTGCCATTTCACAGAAAGTGGTGGTGGCTGAAGTAGATTATATTTAATTGGGAAATCAATTTGTAATTTGGGAAAAATACCAACAACCTTTAATTTATCTCAGCTCATTTTTATGCCATTTCTGTTCCTGTTTGATGTACTTTTATTCTTCTGAACTCTTCCTGAAATTGGTTATATTTAACATTATAACATCAAAAGCACATTCTTCCATTCTCTTTGGTAAAAATAAACACAGATTATACATTAGAAACGCTGTTGCTTTCTTCAAACTCCAATGCCATGTTTACCTCCTTTTAGTGTAAATGTTGATTCTTTGTTTCTAAGGTTTGCATTAACGATCTGATTCTCTAATGTAATAATAAATTAGCTTTTTTAGTAATACTGTGTCAGTAACAATATTCAGGTGAAGTTGGTAATTCAAAGAATTCCAGCTTAAAATTTTGTTTCCATAGAAGATTCAGTTGCTGGCATCAAATAAAAATCTCAATAATAATATGAAAGAATATAAAAACAGTCTGTTGAGGTGTAGCATGTTAACTTAAGGAACTTGAAGTGTTTTAGGCAAACTTATGTACCGTCTTCTGGTGAGCAGAGTGTAAGGAAATTTTGTTTTGCAAGTGGGACAAGCAGAGAGCAGAAGGCGGCTGCTCACCTCCGGTTACATAGCAAATCGGAGTCAAGATCGAGGAGAGGGAGCCCTGTTTGCTTTAGAAGTATTTCGCACACAAGCCCATGCAATCATCCTCTACTTACTGCAGCATCTGAAGCCTGCTGAGATGGATGTTTGGATGGATTTCATGTTTGTCCAGAGTTGCCCATTAGTTGGTGGCCATGCTTGAAAACTGCAGGGGAAGAGAAAGTTCACACCTTATTTTTAGAGGAGAAAAAGGCTAATATAAGTTATTGTCAGAGGACTGCATCACTCGTAAGCTCCCTGACAGGATTGTAGAGCCTATCCCGTCCATGGTTTTGACTCTGCAAACGTACTTGTCTGTCAAGTACACTTATATATGAACACTGGAGGACTTCAGTCTGTCCTCCAAAAAAACTGCCCCTGTGTTGTTCATGGATGGTAGGTATTTGTCCTGAAAACATGCTTTGTCCTTGTTTACTCCTAAACTTATGCACAAACTTACACTGTGAGTACAAATCTTCTGGTCCTCTAAGCAGAGACTCCAGAAACTTGAATGCTTATGGAAGTTCAGCCGCGTTGTTACCTTAGAGATGGAGTCATTTGGGCCAGGGATGAGGTAAATGGGAATAAAGCTCCCGGAAGGTTTTTGCTTTTTTATGTCACTAAATAAATCATACCAGTTTCCATTGCTGTCAGCCTGTCACTTTTTGAGTCACTTAATAATAAATATAAAAAAAATGATATCACAGAGCTCATTAATATTTTATGCCTTGCTGTTTTTTGAATGGTGTCTTTGCAGTATCATTGCTTGAAATATATTGACCGGTCATGGCATACTGCAGAAGTTGCATTACCTTAAAAAATAAACAAGCTGTTTTAATAGGCAGAGAAACCAGCAATGCGATAGAATTTTCCTTCTCGTTTATCTGATGTCATTAATGGTGCTTTTTATGTTGTGTTTTTAGCTCCACACGCTGGCGTCAGTCCAGCTGAATATTATCATCAGATGGCTCTGTTGGCAGGCCAGCGCAGCCCGTATGCAGACATCATTCCTTCAGCTGCCACTGCTGGAGCCGGTGCTCTTCATATGGAATATCTTCACGCCATGGATAGTAAGTGACGTTTGCTAGAAATATAAACTGTCCTGTAAAGGGAACCGCGTCGGTTGTTGCTGGTCTGACCCAAAAGGCCTCCATGCAGATGGAGAAGTGGGAGTCAACATGAGCCTCCTCGTGAGGCTGGAGGGCCAAAGCGTTGGTTGTCAAATGTACGAGGGTTACGTCAAGTCTGAAAGTAAACTTTGAAAGTAAGTAGGGAGCGGAACAGGACTGCTCTTGAAAACAGGTTATAAATTTTATTTCCAGCAGGGCTTGAGTGCTTTTGAAAATGTCATTTTCTATTCACAATCAGTAACTCACTTTCATTGTTAGGTTGAGTAGTTCCCTCATGAGCTCTCTGTTAATAAAAGGTTTACATCTGTTTTTGCGTTAGTAGAGCATGCTCCCCTCCTTTTTGAAGAGAGGTAGCCATGCTTACAAGTTGTGTATCATAGACCGATAGACTTTGAGACCACTTCTAAGGTGAAGCAGTTTGCTGGATTCTCAAGGATCCTGACTTAGTTTTCCCAAATATTAAGAGCCTTCTTGACCCACTGCAGCATCTTTCAGAGGTCTAATCTGTCTCCCTTTCTCTGGTGAAGGAGGAAGAGAGCACCATTCCGAACTGTTCACTACTGCTACTTTTGATCACCCAGAAGGGATTATGCAGAGCACTCCCCTCTAGTCGTAAGGTGCTTACACCCTTTTTGAGGTGTGCTCCTTGCACAAGGGAAATAAAAGGTGGTGACAAAAAAAGGTGGTGACTGTTGACTCCTGCTTGGTAGTGCGGAGCCATATGATAGCATTAGGCCACCGTGTTGTCCCACAGCTTTTTAAAACTTTTGTTAGTGTGCAGTTTCTTTTTCCCTGCCGCTGGCTGCATGCCATAGCTGCTGATCTCAAGGCGTGTGGGAGTTGGGTGGTTCACTTCTGGAACACATGGAAATATAGCTAGCTACCCCTGCAGAGCAGATGTCTGGGAGTGTGAAGTAGTTGACTGACCAGCAGTTTTTACAAGAATCAGGCAAGACAGATAGTTGTGGAAGTGGGCAAGGAAACTATTTTAATCTGTTACCTTGATAGTGAAGGATTTTTTAATTCAGTTTCTGTTATCAGTCTCACTGCACTGGTTGCATGTATAGTGTTTTTATAGTAATCTAACATACCTTGAACCCACTTCAGAAACAGAATAAACCCACACAAGTAGTCTGGACTCAAACCAGAAGTTAATGTGCAGGCTTCAGTGCTTGAAATCATAAGAATGTGAGATGTCCTGATTGGGATTTTGAGAGGAGTAGGGAGAAATGAGGTACACTGCTAGTGCGTTCGATGCATATTAACAATACCTTGCAGAATGGAAACTCTGTTATAAGTGGTTCAGGTAATGTAAATCTGCTGCTATGTTCCAGTTGCAAGGACAAATCCCCAGCTTGTGTGGACATCACTGAAGTAAAGGGATTGTAGGATAGTTGGGGTTGGAAGGGCCTTTAAAGGTCATCTAGTCCAAATCCCCCTGCAATGAGCAGGGATATTTTTATACTCTCAGTGCTTTTGGTTCCTACTGGGAGAGAGTTTCTGAATGTAGGTAGCAGTACCAAACCGCGTATTTGGATGCAGGCTTGGCTGAATTGATCTGTTCATCTATAGGAAGACAAATACCCTGATGCATGCCAGAAAACTGAAGAAAAACAGAAGACATTGCAATACTCATACAAATAATGGCATTTGCACGAAGAAGCTTCATGTGTTAGTAGAGATTGCGTATGCTGTAATCTACATAGAATTACAGCTTTTGCATCCCAAGAATGTTATCAATTCTTACTTAAGGGAAAATGTTTTGACCTTTGCCCATAGCTTCAGCCCATTCATAAAAGGCACCTGAACACTATCTCTAATAAGGATATTTGCTGTCACCAGCTTTAGCTATGATATATTTGAAATGCGCTCTTTAATTTGTTTTGTGTTTGTTTTTAAAAATTAAGACTGCATATTTGAGGTTCATTATAGCAGCGACTTTTCAATTAGGGATTGTTTCAGAGTTAAAGACAAAAAATGTGTAGCGCTATTATGCAAATGGGTTATATTTAAACAGTAAATAGAGAATTAAAAGAAGAGTGAATCCTAGTAAGGTCACTCAGCTCACCTTCTGTATTTGATGAGAATGTGTTTAGTCAGGCAATAGCTGCTTTTATCTAAATAGGGTATGAAGTTACCCTTTTACTTTGTAAAAACTAATTAAAACTATCTTAACTTGCATGGGTATACAGTAAATTAATTGTCATTAAGTAGGAATCTGAATGTCCTATCATTCATCATGCTAAAGAAAACCCCTTTCTTCTTTGTCAGAATTTTAGATTAGAAAGGAGAACAAAACAATTAACAGGAAGCCGATATTAAGACTTTTTTTAAAAAAAAAAGTAAGAAAGCCCATGTTTGCGTTTAATAACAAAGTGCAGTGATCAATGCAAAGCAGTGTCATTTGTTTGGGTCTTTCTTCTTAAGGGTTTGTACGGTGATCTTAAAACTCCTCTTTTGCCTTTGCCCAGTCTTGTCAAACGAAACAGAAGAGAGATTGGTAGTTTCCCTCATCATCTGCTATCAAATTCTAAGGAAGTGGACTCAACTCACTCAAAGGCCGATGCTCATTTATTCCACACAACAACCAAATAGTTACAAGCAAGGCATTGTTCTTCTTTTGTGAAGCAAATCTGTCTCCTAATTGTGTGTTTATACAGCATCTAGCACAGTAATTTGGCAGCTCTGCCCTTTCCTGTAGTATAAATAATGATTCCAACACCAGCATGCAATGGGCAGAAAAGCATGTTACATACAGCTTGTGCAGTTTTGGGCCTTTTGTTTCGCTCTGTGGTGCTGGAAAACTGATTTCAAAATGGGGATGATATGAGTAGAAGAAACATTAATCAGAAGGTTAAATCTTGCCTAAAGAGCAGTAGATCCTTGAAGCTCTGAACTTCACTTTCCGTGGACTTTCTAATATATTGTGGAAGAATAAGACCATGACTGTGTTATGTTTGATTGTCATTTTTCCTCATCCTGTCCTGTGTGGCGTGAAAAGTGAATCAGACTTTTCTTTGCGGTGATAAAGTTTTTCTACAGTTTTGGTGGCCAGAATCGCTGGCCAAGTCTTCCCATCTTCTTGCTTGATCTAAAAGGGTCAGATGTGCTGCCTTAAAGTATAGCATCAAAGTAACTAGGAGAGGAGCAGTAGATGGGGAAGGTATTGACAGTACCACAGTAGCAACAACTGCAGTTCCTCGTAGTGGCTGTAAGAATACTGTATGCCAAAACTGTCTTTTAGGCACTTAAATAGTTCCAAAAATCACAGCCTTTTGGGTTTGATACCTACATCTTTCACTTGGGGAATATGTTTTCCTCTGCTTTTAAATGATGTTCAGTGGAAGGAAGCATGTTCACTGAGGTTTCTAGATTGACCCTGGGAGTATTAATATCCTCACTCTGATTAACTTTTGCCTGTGCTCACACAGAACGGGAGACTTTTCTTTTTCAAAGGTATCCGGCATTGACCTACCCCTTTTGGCATTAGAGACACTGATAGCAACCCGATTGATGCAAAGGATTCGGCCGGCCTGAAGAGTTAAGCCAATGTGAGAAGCTTTGGACTGGGTTTGATTTCTGATTTTCAGGCACAGCTGGAGAATGAGGGTGGGATAGCAAAGCCATTCCTTTTCTTCTCGTGCTGATGACAGATTTACCATTTTGAAAACTAAGACAAAATTTATGACAGACTTTCATGAAGTGAAAACCAAGTTTACACATCTGTGAGGAGGAACCAGAAGGAAAAGAAAGAAAGAAAAAAAGCTTTAATGTAAAAAACAAATCAAACTTCCAATGTTCACAGCCTTCAACAAAAACTAGTGTCTGAGACAGGTTCAAAGAAGTTTGATTTAAAGGGATGAAATAAAAAAGGTTTGATGAAGTTTGATTTAAAGAGATGGAATAAAAGATACATGTCTGAAGATTGCCCTATAAATGATTAAGCAATGCTAAAAACTTCAGCTCAGAAATCAAATTCATGGGCAAATTTGCTGGATGGCATATTCCATTTTTGAAATTTATGATGGAGATAGATATCTGTTATTTTAGAATTGATCTCCACCCCAGGAATAAGATCTTTTCTTCTGACACCTGCTGGATCTTTTGTCGGCACACTCAAATCTTTACTATCAACTACTGATTTTTATTACTGTAATGTCTACTCCAAAAAGGTGACATTCACAAACAAATCTTCACTGTCAGCTTCCATTTGCATGCTTTGCCAAAGCTGAGGGGGTTTTTTCAGCACTTGCGCAGAGGTAAATGGATTTTCAGTGAATTGGTGCTCCTGCATTTTTTGGTTTTAAAGCATCATCAAGTAGGGAATGTAAAGTTTTGGTGGGACAATACTGTGAGCAGAAGAACATCTCAAAGTGCTAAATAAATATTGAAGTGTTTGTATTTAAAATAAATGCCCGGGTACAGCTGAAAAGTTTGGTTTAGTATTCAGAGGCACTGACAAATTGTGACCTGTTCCTTTTTATAATAACATACCAACTAAGACTGATGTACACTAAATGAATGGTTTAGCAAATGTCCTGCAGCGTAACGAGTGGTCAGCTCATGCGTGAGGCTTTTTAGGCATGTAAAACCTAATTAAACCACAAAGATCTGAAAAAACAATAATTCCATTTAATTGTATTTTCAGTTTTGAAAGTTGTGGTCTCCCTTGAAGCGAATCCCCCTCTCCGGGGGTCAGACTCTGTAGAGCTCTGGCCCAGCCTCAGCTGTTGGCTCCTGCTGTGAAGCAGAAATATTCCTGTTTTTGCAGGAGAGTGCTGGCTCATTGGAGATTGTTCCTATCCTGGGTAGATAGAGGGGACTGCCGAATTCCCAGATCCCAGGTGGGGCCTCAAGCAGGCACTGGCTGGAGGGGAAGAGGAAGCCAAGGCTGCTGCGTGGTGTGGCTGAAGCCCAGGCTCTGCCCTTGCAGCTGGAAGGAGCATCGCTTTCCATCACCGGCCACAGATCTGTTGCATCCCCCACAGAGCGGGGCCGGGGGTGTCCGGGCAGCAGCTGGCAGGCAAGGGGGAGCTTTACTGAGCGGTGGGTGGGGAGCGGGCCTCTTACAAGAGCCATAGTGTGACTTAGGCAAGGGGTAAGGGAGACGGGCTCAGTCCAGAAAGGGCAAGGAGGAGGAGGAGGGAAGTCATTGCAGTTTCACAGAATCACAGAATGTTCAGGGTTGGAAGGGACCTCTGTGGGTCACC